ACTAACCCTAACCCCCTTCTAACCCTATTCGTAAAACCCTAACCCTAACTCTACACCCCTAACCCTAAACCCAAACCCTAACCCATACCCCTAACCCTAAACCCCAACCCTAAACCCCTTCTAACCCTAACCCTAACCCCCTTCTAACTCTAACCCTAAGACCTTCACCCTTACCCTTACCCCCTTGTAACCCTAACCCCAAAACCCTAACACTAAAACCATAACCCCTTAACCGTGACCCCTAAAATTAACCCTAACACAAACCCTAACCCTTAACCCTAGCCCCCAAACCCTAAACCTAACCCAACGCAACCCTAACCCTTACCCTAAAAAATAATCCTAACCCTAACCCCTAACCCTAACCCTAACCCAACTCTAACCATAAAACCCTCATCCTAACCCTAACCCTTAACCATAACCCTCAAGCAAACCCTAACCGCCTTCTAACCCTAACCCCTTCTAACCCTAACCTCTAACCCCTAACCCTAACCCACTTCTAACCCTAGCCATAACCCCCTGCTAACCCTAACCCTACACTCCAAAAAACCCCTAACCCTATCCCCTAACCCCTAAACCCTAACCCCTAACCCTAATCCCTAATCCCTCACCCCTAACCAAAACCCTAACCCTCAACCTACCCTAACCCCCTTCTAACCCTAACCCCTTCTAACCCTAAACCCCTTCTAACCGCTAACCCTCAGCCTAACCCTAACCCCCTTCTAAGCCTAACCCTACACCCAAAAACTAACCTTAATCCTTTAACCCTCATCCTAACCCTAACCCCCTTCTAACTTTAAACACATTACACATTATATAATACTACAAACATTCAACTTCCGGGTATGTTCAACAAAAGTCTGTATAATTCTTTGATGAGGTGTGATATCCCAGCTGACTGTTGTACAATGTGAAGAAACCGGCCGTTTCCTTTTTCTTGAACTGGGAACACGATTTTTAGCTGTTTTATTTGTACAAGGTTTCCTTCACTGTTCCTCTTCCTTTTACGACAGATGACTTCTATCCCAAAATGCATCTAAACCTCTTTTCCAGAGAGGGGAAAACGTCCTGTGGACGAGTGTAAGTCCATAAAACGTCTTTTGACTGTCAAAATCGCTCTGGGAGCGATTTTGATGGTCAAATGTTACGCACATGTGTGTTATGTTAATGGAGTCTGTTTTTCCGTAAAAGTGAAATGAACGAACGCATCGTTTACGCAACACACCAAAAAAGGTACATATGAAAAGTGCCTTTATCCGGCCATTCGCTTTGGAATACCAAACTGGCTCAGTGCGTTCAAAAGAATAATTTGCATAATTCAGCATGGGTGCATGAGCAGACTTACTGGAATTATAGAAGTTACGGACTCGGATGGCAACGGGCTGCACCCTACCGACGTGAAACAAACGTTCAGCACGGAACTGGATGTCTACTGCTTCCAATCTAGGGACCTATCGGTGAGAAAACACAAGTAAGACAAGTACGACTTTCACCAAGTTCACTAGTGCCGCTGGCGTATACTTTTTCTTTACAGGTATGAAGATGGATTCTACGGTGTATTCTTGCAGTAGTTGGCTATGTTTTATGTTACGTTGCACACATTTATTTTTCTTGCTCATGTAGAAATGAATGCAACTGGCATTGTAATAAAGATACTAAGCTGTGGGCTAGCGTTTATTTAATCTTTCTGTGAGGCGTCGATCATTTGGTGAGCCATATGCATAAAACGAGGTACTTACATCTTCGAAGTAGAAAACAACCGAGTGCTCAGTTGTTTCATATCGCTGAACCCGCCCGTTACTGTTTGCCGTCACCTGCGAGTAAGGAGTCATTAGAAAGAAATAAACCAATCGAGAAAACAGACCTGTGATTTGATTGATTTTTTCATCAAAAAGTATCTTTTTGCAACATTAACATACACTTTTTTCCGATTGTGATAACTTTTTTCCGCTTGGGTATAAGACATTGACAACATTACACACGAGGCAATTAATGAAATAAATAATTTGAATTACACATACAATTTGTCCATTTTTACCCTTCTCAGATCCTCCTCAACCGCAACGTAGCCGGTGAAGAGGCCAACAACCAAGATAGCCATACCGCTTTTCTCGCCACGCAAGTACCTGCATAAAGTATAAGTGAAAGCCATCTGCTGAGACATGTCGTATAACCCCCACGGTAAGTTCATAAAGCCTGGCGCTCGCCTTTGGTATTTTACCACATGATCCCACTGCCAATCGCCGTTGATTAACTAGACTTTGACATTAAAATGCCTAAAAATGAAGCTTCCTACTTGTATCATCATATTATGTGTTAGATGTGTCATGCAATGCTAAACATCCGTCATGCGTTGCAGTGGGCCTCCCGTTTGCGCAATAAAGACAATCTTTTGTCAACAAAAAAAGAACAACAAATACAAAATTCCGTCAATGCATGGAATTCATATTAGCACTTTACTTTTCCAACCAGCGAAAGGAGGCTCAATTGACCCATGTATGACTCGATTCATAGACCTTATGTTGAATAATTCAGGTGTTGTAATGATGCAGAAACGTTTTATACTGTATTTCCTGTAAATGTCTAGTTTATAATCAGCTGTTGGTAGCAGAACCGGGTGTCCGCCGGCCCATCGGACTCTTGGGATCAGGGATTAACTAAATAGATCGCACAGATGTGAGTGAAACAAAACCAGGAATACTCTAACTGCAGTCTGGTCGTCCAACAAGTATCAAAACTGATCCATTTTCAAATCTGATCTCACTGTCGCTTTCATGAGAAGTTGTGCGGGACGCGTACTGAGTCTCAATTTTTACAAACAAATATTGTTACCAAATCATATTCATAAGGAATGCCGCATGATATAAAATGGCAGCTCCACTGAAGCAGACGTCAAGCACAGGGGCATCGCCAGGAATAGGAAAAAGTCTTTCCACGAGGAGTGGAGCTAAGCATTTACATGTATCAATAGCAGAGTAAGGGAGGTGTGGTTCAGAGAGCTATTTTCATGCAAATTGCTACATCAATCACTTTAGGTAATTGCAAAACCCTACGTTGCCAAACCCTATTCAAGACAGGGGTCGAATCTGATTAACATATTGGCGGGGCACATATAACAGCTCAAGTTTGCAGGCATTTTCAAATATGCAATTTAAAGGAGAATTTTCAGTGCTAGGACAACATGGATGTTTTAAACCAATGAGGCCTCGGTGCTCCTGCTCATGGCGGGTAGGTTTATTGTAATTGAACGGTTTATTTTACACCAAGCTAAACTTTTAATTGGCAGGTCACTGGTCTGCAAATGTGTTGCTAGATTGTGAGCTATTGATGCTGCTCTTGACTTGAAATCAAGTCGGTAATTGGCCGATGTGGTGCAGTTTAACACAACGCGGCAACGGTCGGTGCAATCTTGCCCCCGAATATACGTGTCCAGTGGTTCTCAAATACCGACTTGAATAATTTGCAAGCCTTTGTGTGCACAACATATGGGGCTTGCTACCGAAATTGGACGGAGCACTCTGATTAGCTAAGAATGCTGATTATGCGAATATTTATATCAGGGGCAGTTTCATTGGTTAGTTGAATGTTTATTAGCAACAACCGTGACAGTCTCGTTCATCGAAGAGTTTGTTTACATTATTCTAAAAAGATGATTTACCATAAAAGCATGATTTTTTTTACAAAAAAAGGTAATTAATAGATTTTTTCTTGAATGGTGATGTGTACTTTGTCTTTAAACGTCGTATTATTAATGCAAGATATGAAACTGGCACTAATCAAATGCAGACATTCCTACATGTCTGTTAAAGCACGAGCTACTATTGGCACTCTCAATGAAAATATACGAATATGTAGTACAGTTTCTGCATAGGCCTACACGATTTTAAGTCTAATGCTCCTCTAGCTCAGTTGCCGTAATGTTTGGTTTAAATCTGTTATGTTGCTTTGTCAATTTCTGACCGACACGAGGGAAGAAAACTTGAAAAATTCAATATCTTTATTTTGTAGAGGTCTCCCAGCTAATGTCTCTTACGTTTCTTTCTTTAGGGCTATTAGTTTAACACTGCTAATAACTGTTAATAGTAGGCCTACACAGAAGTCATTTATGAACGACAAACAGACATTTATACCTCACTCGTATGTCATAGGAAAAAAGTTCCCTTTCCATCAGCTGATCCTCCTCCGCAACCTCACCCACGTTCGCCTGTAGCTCAAAGTCACAACTGTAATAGTTGGGCTCAGCGATGTAATATGAAGCTTCAAACTGCACAATTGGGAGGAATTTGAATCAGAGTTGCTCAGAGCAAACAAAAGCTACAATAATATCGATGTACAGTTGAGATTTACTTGATAAAAACTTCACGTCTGCAAACTCGTTTCGCACGTGAGACAAGATGGAGCCTCACGACGTATCTGCTTTGGTGCTTACAACAATGTTATATTGACCTTATCCATCTAAGTTCCAAGTTCATTTTTACACAAGGTAAGCATGCATTGTTTGGGGGCCATTTCTAAATTACCGAATTTACTTTCTGAGTAAAGTTGAGACTCTGTGTGTGATGTAACATGCTGCATCCACTGTCCATGAGAAAGATATGGTTGCCGTGAACTATGAACTATTATCCGAATGGCTCTTCATACAGTTTTGTCGAATGCACAATGAAAACGGACATTCTGAGTTGAAAATAGATACCACGAAAAGTTTACAACTTGCAAGTCAATCAATTCTGAAATTTCGTTTTTCTGAAGCGGCTGTTCAGTTGTAACCGCAATTAATTTTGCATTCGCTATCGGAAGTACAATGTCTTGCTTGCGTATAATCGTGATAGTCAAAATGTGTTCATAAAATATCCGTGGCTGTGACATGAAAAGAGGGACACAAATATATTGTTTATGTGATACAGCTGATTTGTTTGAGAGACACAAGTTACACCTGCCCTGCTTTTCCGGGTCAAATATGACCCAAAAGGGGTCAGGCCCCATGGGACCCAGATTCCGGGTCAGTCTGACCCAGGTATTTTTAGAGTGTGCGGAAGTTGCTTTGCCACGATCTCGGCAAACAGTCAAGAACCTGCTGGATGAGCTTTTGCCACGTCTTGTTTCCAAAATGTACAAGATACTTATACGGATTTCTCCACAAAAGTGACGGTTGATTTTCTTTGGGTGCTGGTGAAAAACGTTGACGACTACAAAAGGATGGTCTCTCGCTGGCCTATTTAACTGACTTTCCGGTGTTCAAGCAGAAACACTGGAACTTTTTTTCATGGACCAATCAGCGACACACTATTCCATGACATTTTCACTACAGCAGACGGCTTTTCTCAAAATGTGACTTACTTTAAACTGGCCAATGCCTGTTCCCTCGGTCGTGACGAACACATTGATTTCACCGCTGTTGTTTGGAATCTGGCAAAAAACATATTTCTTTTTTATGAGAACAGTTCAAGTGATGACGAGATTAAAAAAGTTTGACATCCAGTGAAGTTCACATTGCTATGGTTTGAGAGTCATACGCACTTTTTTCAACCAAAACGTGTGATTTTTTAAAGAGTTTTAAACGGGGAATAGGGCAATAAATATTTAGCACGTTGCCTTGTTCACGAAAATAGGACGCACGCCACCAAGGAAAAAATCAAAAGGCAAGAAACTGTATGGGCTAAGTTTGATGACCCCAAGCATTGAACCGAAATGTAATAAAAACACGACAGATTTTGGTGGGGATTTGTCATCGAATTAATACGATTACATCAGTTTGAATTGGGTATCAAAAGGAGGAAGACTTTTAAAACAGTACACCGACAGTATTTTCACATCAATGAAACTTGGCAGTGACTCGTGTACAATCTGTACCAAAGCTTAATTGTTCGGATACGTGTTAAGGAACTAACACGTACTATACGTTGTACGGAAAAGACTGCTTTTAAAAAGACTTCATTTTGCCTAAAGAGCTCCAACACTTTCGTGATATTGGAAATACATTCTTTTTTTCAGTGATGAGTTTCCAATATGCATACCTCTCTGCTTTATCTGTAGTGATCCAAGTACATTTACGAGAGAGCTACTCACATTTATAGTTCCTACTTGGGGCACAAGCGCGTTATCTGCATTCACCCTGAAGGTTTCATCGTAGTTACTCTCATCACACGTGACTGTGCAGAAGAAATCAATGTCCAGTTCTTGTACCCTATAAGCGTACACCGACAGGGCTTGCAGTGCCATGACGGTGTCCTGAAATCAAAAATGAACAATGTATCATATGTTTACACTTTTTCGGACTTTCCTACACGAAGCATCTTCACTCTCGACCTTTGGCCTTCTTCGTCTCATAAAAGATTTGACCTCCGTGTCTGTGCTGGCACGCGGGAGTCTCAACGTCCATTGTACTTTCTGACCTTCACTCGGGGTCTATTTCATTGTAATCAACGGGTAAATAGACAATTACAATATGGCAGACTTGGTGCTTCAATGTTGCCTTGATATTATGTCTGGATAATTCAATGTACTGAACGAAAAATATTATTAACGACCCCATTTTAAAATTTAAAAAATGATATTTCTGAGGGATTCCTCCACTATTTATCTCAAGCAAGTGGAATCAAATGTTTGATTATCAAACTTCAATCGTAAACCAATGGTTAAACCAAATTGTCCATTTTCCTTTTCTCCTACAAGGAAGAAAATAATCTCAAACAAGCCTATGAATGCAAAATGGTGCATAGCCAAATGATTACGTAATCTGATTTAAAACTACAGCTCATGAGACAAAACATTCATTGGTTCCAAAATTAGACCCTTTGACGAGTCCTATAGGATAAGCTGTTGATGTTTTATGCATCTACAAAAATGCTAGTCTAGGTAATAGATGTTCATTCTCATACAAGCGTCTCTTTAAGGTGTGCAGGTTCCACGATTAATTACGCAAGACGACCACGTACTGACCTCCAGACTTTGAACAATCACAGGGTGTCTCCTATAGTACATTTGGCCGAAAAGACATGGTGCGTTCAAGCGTTAAAATTGGTGTTTGGGAAAGTTGTGTTTCTTTATTTTTCTATTATTGCTCTCGCAAAATTTGTTATATTTACTGTCCTCGAAGTTGATCAACATGCACGTATTCGTCCCCCTGTTACGCACGATTCATTGAAGCCGTCATGTGTGCACACTCAGCTGAAAACATTGACCGATCAATATCCTCAGTCACCATCCAGACGAAAAAATAGCTTTATAACGGCTCTGACTGGCCGATACAATGCATAGAATTTGCCGCATGCGCGAGTGTTTCAGACGTTAGTGAGGAGCACTCAACAGAGTACTCAGACTAAACTGCATAATTTATTTTAATACCTGAGATGTGACAAACAGAGCAAAGAGTTCGTTGACAATGTCTATACATACCTGAGAAGAAACAAATCCTCCGTGGTAATTTTCTTGATTGGTCAGCCACTTCACAATAGCGTGCGTGTACTGAATATCGCCTACTGTCAACAGTGCAAGCAAGGCGTAGCTGGTAGTCTCAACCTCGATGGCTTTCGGGCGACGGCTGTACCAGTAAGGTTTTGAGCCACCACCGAACGAGGAATCATCTGCCGCCCAGTAACGAGAGTCTGAGGCTTCACAGAAATAGGGCCTATATGAAACATTCCGGTCAACATTCAGCGAGTATTCAAAGTGAATAATGCGTCAGGTATGCACCTCAGTTAAACTTCGGTGTAGCTCGAACAAAATAAAGTCTGTTTTACCTTCATCATGTGTAGCAATATCTTTGAGCATTCGTATGGCATCCTGCACCCTGCTGCTGTTGGCAAGAGCCAGAGCATACGCCGTGATGGCAATGGCGTATGGGCGTGTCAACTCTTCCAATTCCGCCTCCAGGAAGGTAGCTGCAGCAGCAACAGAACTGTCCTTATCCTGAAAACATAAACAAAGAAGACGTCACTTGTTATAAGTACAAAATGGCAGGGGAACATAAACTGTAACAGGCACATTGGGCTATACGATATGGGTATCTAGAGGCAGTAGCCCAAATGCTGACTTCTGGCGAGCTGAAAGAAATTTTATCCCCAGCGAAAATTAGGGGCCTTTTGGAAATGATGAAAAGGGATTGGTCTCAACTTTACAAGATTGCATTTGGTTGATGATAAAATTGTGTAATGCTGCCACCGTATATACACGTCTGTTTAAGAGTTTTTGAAAAGGCTACCTAGCGTAAAGACCAAATTGGTTTTGCTTCAGAATGTTTCAAGATTTTTCTCAGAGTGAAACCTTTGTTTAGCCTCTGTCACCTGTTTGCTCAAGAGACACAATTTAATCGAGAGGTTTTCTGTACGAAGCTTGTTTGAGTATTACACCTCTTTAATTTTTTTCTGTTGACAATATTACACCTCTTTAATTTTTTCTGTTGACAAATATCACCGCGAGTAGTGCATATCAGTATGCTGGCCCATTCTCTTCAGCTAGTTAGTCTCAATGCTGCAATGGACAGAATCTGTATAGTACATGACAGACTTGGTTATGTGGCCAATGGCGTGAAGACATTACGTGGACTTGGTAGTTCATTAACGAAGCAAAATAAACGAAACCTTCAAGTGAAAGTGGCATTGACTGTAATGACCATAAGTATGTTGCAAAATGTGTTGAATCAAATTAGAATATAATGAGCTTAAGCCACCCTCAGAAGTACTGCAACATTTGCTGCTTGAAAATTTGTGCTCCCAAAATGGCGATTTGCCTTTTTCTTTTGGGGGGTTTCTCTTCTCTTTCCTTCTACTTGATTCATATTTGACGAAACGTTTGACCCGTAGCCAGAGCTTCCTTAATGTGTCTATCCTTCAACTCGAAATGCAAACAGATGAGGTGGAATCCGACTTAAAGCTATCAAAGATTTCCACAATGACGTCATACAAATTTCTTAATTACGAGCGAGGACTTCTGACTGCGTGCAGACACAGAAGCGAAGGTAGCCTTCTGGTACGAAACACTATAGAACTGATGGGCACGTTCCGTTGTTTTAGCAAACATTAGGCCTCTGCGCCGATAGCAAGCGTAGAACAACTTTAAGCTCAAATCCAAAAGGTCAAAACAGCCGGTGTGTTGATTCAAAGATAAATAACAGACCCAAACTCACGAATGTATCGCACTGGCATTCCAACAGCGAAATAAGAACGTATGCAGTCAGTGAAACTTTGCCTTGGACACCTCCCTGTGGAAAAGCATCATACCAGAATTATCATTACATAACGTATCACTAAATTAACAACCGTCATAGAACGTATCCATCTTTTTCGTAGGACCCGCTTTTTTGAAATCCCAAAACAAACGATCAAGTCAGATAGAATCGGTATTTCTCTCGGCACAGTTTGAAACACCCCTACTGGTATATTAGCGGGAATACAGTTCGCTTTCGTTGAAACGAGGGTGTTGGACTTACTTCATTTCGTATTCACCGTCTGAATGGAAAAGGACATCGTTCTATGAAATGGGACAGGCTATAGGTATGAACTGAATATACAGCATGTATGTGAGCAACAACAGATCCATGTGGATGGAATTCTGACGTCTGAATGAAAAGCCGTGTGAGCACTTAAAGGCCACATTTTTAAAGCTACAATAATTCAAATGTTTACGCCCTGTGATCTAAAGCAGACTTAGGGCCGCGTGTTCTTATAGCTAAGGAGATAACTTGCCCCAAGCAAAATCAATAAAACTAATGGCAATAAGAACCGAACGCAGGGCTCAAAAGACTGCAGCTAGTTTTCACGTATACGACGATCATGGGTAGTTGACACATCAGAGTGGACTATCCCGACCACTGTAATACTACTCACGGTCATTTCTCTGTCAAGTACTCTGTAAACGTCACGAAACGACCCATCATCCGGACTCTGGGAACGAGTTATCAGCCATTCCATTGCCATACAGATTATTCCGTCGTCGATAAAGGCAAACTCCTTCGCCTGACAGAACACCTTCGCAACGAAAGCCGTTAACCTACGTCACATGCAAAACGTAAGCACAAAGACTGAAAGATACGCACTGCGCCTCAGAATCAAATCTTTAAATGTTTACCAAGTATACTCCTCCTTATCGACATACCTCGCAATACTGTACGGGCTTTTATGATCGAGAAACATTTTGCTGATAAGGAATTTCTGTAAAATTGAACCATCGGAATAATTTTCTTGCACATGCGGGCGTATGATAGGAAGTAAAGACGTCATGTGAACTTGCCTACGCCCACAAAACGTCTTCCATTGTCTGAAACTCAAGAGTTGCGCTAGAGCTTCGGGATTTATCACTAACAAAAGGAAAAGGAAGTTAGAGCGTAAGAAATTGAGAACTTATGCATGAAATTGAAGGGAGGCTCAAATAATTGCAGTAAGTATTAATGTGTGTTTGGTTTTGCCCTTCTCTGTAATCTTTTTTTATTTTTAGTTTAATCCATGTTATCAGACCAATTGAGTGTAACAACATAAGATGATTTGATTTTGTTGCATTTATTTTGCCTGCGCCAGAACGAGTTTAAAGATATCCTCAACATATCAAAGGATTCAGGCTCAGTAATACATTTGTGAATAACAAGAACACAGAAAACAAAAACCAGCGGGAAAGGGTATCTGTTTCCGTGACCTGCTTTCTGCTGTCACAAGATAATTTACTTCACTGTAAAACTCAATAACTACAAGGTGGTCCAAGTAAATTATAAAAACATGGCTGACAAAAAAGAAAGTATGAACGAAAATTAATGAAACATCGATAGTGCACTAAAATGATTATACTGCACAAATAAACTTGTGTTATCTGGTTTAATTAGCATTAAACAGCATACTACTGCACTCACCACGTGCTGCTTTGGAAACTTGATGCCAAGGCAAAAAATGACCCGTCGCTCAAACGGAAGGTGAGCTCACGTGCAACGCCTGAGAAGACCAAAAAACATGAAAGAGTGAACAATCAGCATTCTATATCAACGACTTTATGAATGTTCCCAGTCATCATGTACTTCAATCTGATTCAGTGGACCTTGATCAGTCACCCAGATGATACCTCCTGGAATGGAAGTGGTACGCAAACAATCAAATAAAATGCCAAGTCCAGTTCATCAGGCTCAACTATTGCCTAATAACTATATTAACACGTTTTTTCCTTGGTAGGTTTTTTCTTTTGCAAAATGTTGAATGTAGTTTTATTTTCGATCGATCGATCGGGCGGATAAAGCTATTCTATTGGTGGATAATTCATGATTAATTCTGTTTAATAACTTCAGACTATTCTCACCGTTCACTATGTACTGCATTGAAGAGGTCTCCAGGTTAGCAGAGATTTGATAAGTGCTTTTGAGATAGGTGTAGACGTAGACATTGGGCCCTAGCCGCATCATGGTCTCCTCGCCGTTGCCCGTGGGGATCATCAGTAGGTTGTCAACACCTCCTATCACCGTTTCTACGACGCTTCCCTGCACTTTACCTGGGACAAAATTTACAAAACATCTATCAAATAAGATCCAATAGCGTGGTCACGCGACATTAGCAGAATATTTTTTAGCAGAGCAAAATATTTAACTTGTAAATTCTTCGACTCATCACGAGTGACAACAATTAGCAGAATAATATAGCCCATGTTTCAATACATAGAATTGGGCTGGGGTCGTTTCTTCGGCATTATTCGGAAAGAATGGTAAAAAACTTAAGCAAGCCAGCCAGCTATGAGGACCTTTATACGCAATGTTCTAAGATGATCTATGTTGGAGTGTACATTGTATGTGTGCCCTTCTTACAGTTTCTGTCTTTTTTGTCAAAAAACATTTGTTCTTACTACCAAGAACAGGCTAACTTCATCGTAACAACCGGAGGATAAACTGACAATTTAGTAATTTCCTTGGTCTTTTTTTGAAGGAGGAAGCCTGTGCGCTAAAGACAACCGTGGAACTGTACACCTACCAAAAAGACTCATCCGAACCCTGTGGGTACCAGGGATTGCATTTTTGTTGATAATGTATTGAATGAAGTCCACTTGATAGATGCCACCATCGTCCTTCCAGTTCTCTAAAACAGCAATAAATCGTATGGAAAACGTTGAAATACGTAAATTGCTAACACCCTGAAATAACCCAAAGGAGTACGGGTTCATTTTATCCTTAAGCCTACTCCAGTTGCGTGCATTAATTGAACTCCATTCCATTGTGAAATGAGGAAGATGGCAGTAAAACAGATCACGCCCCCCAACACCTGAAATAAAAAAACATTGTATGCAAACTGGAATTTATTTGCCCATGAACTGCAACTGTATGCTGCAAACAAAAGTCAAACATATCATGAGCGGTAAGGAGGCCTTACCCCAAGAATTAAGAAGGAACCCTCATAAATGTACAAGGAAAGCTACTACAAGAAAAATACTATAAATAACGCCTGATCACTTTGTCGTGTAGGTTATCGACATGCAACATTTTCTCAAAGGGTGATGCAAGAGCAAGAACCGCTGGATTGGAGTTGAAAATTGACAGCACCATGCCGAAATAAAATCAGTGCCCAAGTAGGGCCAGCTTGTGAAGGATCCTTAGGGACACAGAGAAAGATCAGCAAGGGTGAATATCATTTAAAGTTTTTTACAGTTTCAACATTTTAGATCGAACTAAACTGACGATAAAGAACTTTTCGAGACTTTGAGTAATTTCATTTTTTTTTCTATTTATTTGCTTTATGTACAAGGGAAGCAAGGGGCAAGGGAAACAATTGGGGAAATTGTCTCAACAGGCTCGCCAAAAACACCTCACTGTGCTAAAAACCCCAGTTGGACAATTATAACTGGTTGTATCAATTATCTTTTGTACTTAACCGTACGCATGTGATAATAGTGTTGCTCTTGGCCCACTCGCTCGCTTCTCTGTGACCCACGGCTATTCGCTGGATCCAGAGTCAGTGGAACTACAACCTCTTTCTTGGTTCCCTCAGGCTGTGAAAGAAACAAGAGAGAGAGAGAGAGAGAGAGAGAGAGAGAGAGAGAGAGAGAGAGAGAGAGAGGGAGAGAGAGAGAG